GACACAATTTTGTCTTCAGTGCCTTTGAGTTCAGGCATATTGATTATTATGTTGTCTGGAGTTACCAGTTGAACATATTTTTTTGTCACTTTAATGAATTCTTCCACATCGATGACTCACGTAGGTGGCAATTTCCATGAGAGATGATGATGTTCCTGTTTTGTCATTGAGATCTTTGTTTGTGGACTAATTTGCTTCCTTTTCCAAATCTGCAATTTTTGAGGGTCTTGGTTATCTTATCCTTATCCTGTTTAATGTTGGTTTTGTCCAGGGTTGCAAATAGGGCTTTCTCAGGCCTGCGAATATCCTCCATGTCCATTTGGACAGGGTAAGGAAGGTATAGCCTCAATGCAAGAAAATGCTAATAAAATGGAGTGGTCTTGCAAAATGGAATTGGAAAAAAGTACTGGATCTTTCAGAACATTGTCTGGAAGAAAATTTCACATGCACTCAATCACACAATTGCTTATACAATAAACAAAAAAGACAATCCAATCCTTAGGAATGACTGCTAAGAACATCCCTTCTCCAAATTTATAAAGAAATCCTACAGATGCATGCTGGGATTTTTCCTAGCCAATAAAATTCTTGAGAATTCTTGATTTCATCCTCTATATTTTTTGTTCTTTCTTGTCTTGAAGTCAGAATGCTATAATCACTTGACTGTATCCATTTTGCATGAAAACAATTTTTAATTTGTGAACTTATCTTATTACTATTGCTTTGGCGAGTTTTGACTTGCATACATTTTGTTTGCTGTTCTTTTTCTTCTTCTTCTCTTATCGTTTGAGAACTTTGTCAATTTCATTTAGCCCTGGCAGACTCCACAGATAGAACATATTTGTTTTTTTGTTTTTAAATGAAATTAATAAATTGGATGTATTGACTTTGATTTCTTATAAAAGGTGAATTTTCCTTTAAAAAAATTAAGTAGTCTCCCTTAAATCAGTTTCATTCCCTAAAATAAAGACAATTACATTAATTTGAATTTATATTTATTTCTATATTTGGGCAGTAGCTGTGTTCGAAATCTGGAAAATAACATTATTAGTCTGACACATTTACATTTACTTCACTATCATGCCAACTAGCACAGACGATATAAAATTAATCATATATTATCACAGCCAATCATAAAATATGCCTCTGCTTGTTAGGTAAAATATTTGCACAAATAGTTTAAAAAAAATACTTTTTAAATTAAAGTTATGTCCTTGTTTACTTAGTAAAAGGAATTTCATAACTGTTACTGTGTGACTCAGATAATTTGATGCATCTTTTTAGGTTTTTATGTGTCATGGACTTTGAACACACATCTAGCAGTATGTGTTTATATATATATATATATATATATATATATATATATATAAAATTTATTTTAGGATACTACACAAAACATGTCAAAATTGTTACACAACTGCAGTCATGTTTCGATGCATATCAATGCATCTCATCCGGCAATTTAAATTACTGGCAAGTAAATGATTTATTTAGATTTAAAAGTAAAATACAACCTCTTTTTACAAAAAAGGAAAAAGGTGGGGTTTATAAGGTTTGTGGATACATAAATTATGCAAACTAGAAAATTCCATTACCTAAGAAATAAAAATGGGGTGGAGAGGTAATTTAGCAAAATGCTAAACAAGTTATATGCTTTGTGAGTTTCCTATATAAAAAAAATTATAGTTGATAAATAAATAGCTTCTTTAAGAAACTAGTAAATAATTTAAATATATAGAATTATTTGGTAAATTAATATGCAACTGTTGAATAAAGATTCTTCATATAAGATGTTAATAACAATAACCAAACAATATAAAATGTCAAAAATACCAACCAAATACCAATACATTACAAGATGTTACTAATACTACTGGGAGATTAATACAAAATTATATTAAATCCAAATGAATCTTACAAATAGATAAGCCAAATATGTTGCAACACAGTACAACTAAAATATAAGAAAAAGCATAATCAAATTCTAAAGTTTAACTAAATTGTAAGGTAAAAGGTAAATTATGTTTACAATTTACTGTTAATTCATTCCTTTGATTTAATAAATTTTTATTGAATCTGATAATTTTCAGTTTTTCATCTAGGCACAGAAAACAGGGTTCATATAAAGATCTACATATCCTTGCCATTTTTAAAGTTTTCCATTTCACCTTGTCTTATAGTCTTATCCTTTAAACTCCAAAAATATTTAGAAAGTGATGTATTATTTCTGTAAGTACTATTGATGAAGGACAAGGTATGTTGATACCATCTAGTCTTGAAAGAATTCTTAGTACTATCAATATAGAATTTTTTAACCATCAGATTCTCTATTGTAGAGATATTACAAAGATAAACAAGAGATTTATTTAAACATTTGTTTGGCAATGGGCATTGGTCAGAATTTCTACAATTATACAGTTACTTTATAATCTTCTTAAAATTATTGGTGCAGCTTTAACTTAGTTTTAATGTGTTTCTGTTAAAGAGGGTTACTTTTAGGAAAATGTTTCTCAATCAATTGGAAAAACTTATGGCCTAACTTAATACTGACTAATTGATTAAATGGGGATGTATACCAAATGATCTTCCTATTTCTTTTCTTTGGACCACTATCATCATATTTTCTAAACTTGATTTCAGTATACTTATAACCACTATTCTTTAAAACTTTATTATAGACATCGCTATATTTATCAAACACATCTGTGTCCAATGAGTGCTTGCTAATCCTACGTTCTACAGACGAAGGTATATGTTGGATTACAGATGGAGGGTAGTTAGAATTGAGGTGAATATAAATTAGGTTAACATTATTTTTCATATAAGGTTGAAATATATCATTAATGAGATCTAACATAACATCAAGAAAATCTAGTTTAACATTAGTACTTATTTTAAACTTAAAATTCAAACTTTTTAGTTCTCTATGAACCATTTTTCTTAATTTATCTACCTTAATTTTAGTGGAATTTTTAACTACCATAAGACCATCATTTCTATATAACCCTATACTATCAACATTGACATCTTCATAGGCAGTAAGGTTATATAAAATAAATAAATTCACCAGATAAGAAGACTCTGCAGAATCTAATGATCCCATTGAAATATCAAAGTAATCATCAGAGTTCTTAGCCCACTGTTCATTATTGTGAATGAGAACTGATCCCCTACAGTTCATTATAATATTTATCGCTTCACTGGAGATGTTAGAATATTCTTTAGCAAATTCCAAATCCAAGGTAAAGAGATCCTTGGAGAAAGAAGGGTAAAAATCTACAATATCAAACTGAATAAAAGAGCAGCTGCTTTTATTACTAATACCTCTAAACCAATTAATGACTTCTGTGGTACTAATCCAATGTATAAGTCCAAGGCATTTTTATGTCAGTTTGTTGACCTGATCCAGGATAACTTTGCTAATCCTTCCCATTTCTGGTCTAGTAAGGCTTATGATCCTTGTAGGAAGTTTGGTATGAAAATCAGGCTTATGATCTTTAGTAAGATTCTTTAGTGCAGAATTTACTAATCCTATTGCTGATTTTAAGTTTATCAGTAATATTTCTAGAAGTAGTGTTAATTTTATCAACACAATTAATATTGTTAATATCTATCTTATAATTCTTAGTTAAATTGTTTTTGATTAATGCATTGTATTCTTTGGGATTAAATTTGTAAAAATTAGTAGTTTTATCAGATTTAACAAATATTTTGTTGGATTTATTAATATCCTTAGCTATACGATCTAAATGCGTCTGAAACTGATTCCTATTTTTATGAAAAGTGATGTCATTTATAGTGTTTGAAGACCTGTTTCAAAGCCGTGTAAGCATTCAATGAGAGGCGCAGTTTTTAAAAAAATTTTCTCAAAATGTTGGCAACACTGACCTGTGCAATCACTGAAGTTTTCGTACTGATCTGTGCAATGTAAACAAACTGGCACCATATTTGTTACTCTAACCATTAAGCCATTGGCGCACGGTAGGGAGGAAAGTGGATTTTTAGCGTGCTTATTTTTATAAACACGCCCAGTGACCGGGAGTGACTCAATTCGCATTAGCGAAGAGTCTCGCTATATAGCTATAATAGTCACTGTTTACCAACCCACATCTCCTCCCCAGAGAGCTCAACTGAAATTAATTTTTCAGGAGCCAATATACCGTCATCCACAGACAGACTGTTTCGCTGTTTCACAGCTCATCAGTGTGGCTAGACATCCGTTGCCTCCAGCTAGAATTGACCCGACTGAACTGGTGTCAGTCGGAGATTCTAACCATTAAGCCATTGGCGCACGGTAGGGAGGAAAGTGGATTTTTAGTGTGTTTATCTTTATAAACACGCCCAGTGACCGGGAGTGACATTAGCGAAGAGTCTCGCTATATATATATATATACACACACACACACACATACACATAAATAAAAAATAAATAAAAAGCTTAATCGCAGAACCTTGTCTGTCATCTTTATTGTATGTCATCTTTTATATAATGTTTCATACATTATATATATATATATATATATATATATATATATATACATATATATATACACACACACACATATATATATATATATATACACACACACACACACACACATATATATATATATATATATATATATATATATATATATATATAGATTGGTGTGGACCAAATAAAATCCAATAACCAAAAACACTATTCTTAAAAGAGTGATCAGTACAGAGTAGAGCAAATATTATTTATTCAAAATAGCCATTTTGTTTCAACACTTCTGGTGTCTTCTCAAGTGATGGTGTTGAGAAGACACCAGAAGTATTGAAACAAAATGGCTATTTTTGTAGCAATTTTATGTTTGTTATAATTTTAAATATAACTATTGTGGCCAAATGGATTTTAACAAAATGTGTCATAATATTGTTTTCTTTTGTCATTTAATAAAAAATATATAAATTTAAATAGAACTGTAGTTGTTTATTTAAATCGATTGTAGTTTTTTTTTTATAATTCTTTGTAGGTTTGAAATTGTAAAGGACAAAAAAGATGAGGACATTTCTGTATTGCAAGAAAATGGCAAAAATGTATTCTCTAGTGAATTACCAGTTCATATCCATCTTTGCGAGTAAGTAACCTTGGATTTAAATTTATTCTTATCCGAATGTCATTTTGAAATTAAATTTCACAAATGATTTACTTTGTAGTGTATTGTACATTTTTGTTAGAGTATATGACTTAATCTGAGATTGGTTTGTAAATAAATAACTTTAAAAATAGGAGTTACATTTATCATATGCATGTTTTCATTTTGCGTGTAATACAACTTCTATGTGCTGTTTCCCTCAGCACATAGGCGATAATGGTTCTCCCCAACTTTCTATCTGGTGTGGCTCTTAGCAGTTTGCAAAGGCCCCTGCCACCAAACTCATCAGGTAAGTGACTTGATACCCTCCCCTATCTCTCTTGCCCTAAATATACCCTGTGAGGATTGAGGTTTCCAAGCTCTCTCTCCAAGAAAACTCGGCTCTTTCTTCTTGATTCTGAGTAGAAGTGTTCTTTCTGTTGCCATTTTCATTTTGTTTACTCACTCAGTCCATGGAATTTTCAGTATCCTTCTGTAGAACCACATTTCTGCCTCCTCTAGTTTTTTCCTTATCTGGAGGGAAATTGTCAATATGGACCATTATATAAGAGGATGGATATCACATAGCAATCCAGCACTCTTTTCTTTGTTTCTAATGAAATCTTTCTGTTTCACAGCACCTTACTTAGCTTTTGAAATTCTTTTTCTAGTCTAATGCATATTCAGATCTCAGTGTTGCATTTTCTATCCTCTGTTAAAACAACTCACAGTTATTTGAACTTCTGCACCTGCTTGATGTTGACATTTTCAATTTGTAACTCGTATCTTGGGGTTTTCTTCTTGCTGATGACCATCCTTTCTGTGTTTTTAAAGTTGATGGCTAGTTCACGTTTCTCGCTTTCTGTCTTGTCTTGGAAGTCCTGTAATTTCCTTTCCAAGTCAGCCATCAACACAGTGTCATATGCTTATCTTATATTGTTAAGATTAACCCCACCAATAATAAATCCTGGTAGGGTCTCCTGTTCCATTTGGATAGCAACGCTGTAGAGGCTGAATAATTCTGGGGAGAAAATGCATCCTTGTCTCGTGCCCCTTACTATTTTTGTAGCTACTCAATTTGTTTACTATCTGTATGCAGGTGGTCCTAGTATAATTTCTAGATTATTCTAACATCTTTTCCAAATAGATCTCATTTTCTCAGCAGTTTCAATAGACCCTTTTGCCATATCTTGCCAAATGCTTTTGACATAATGCTATGAAATATAAGTGCACATCCCTCTGCACCTGTATTGAACTCTGTAGTATCATTCTGATCATGAATATCACATTTCTTGTTCCAATGTCCTTGACAAATCCACACTGTTCCTGTCCTATTTCTAGTCTAATTCTGCACTGCACTTTATCCATCAGGATTCGCATCATTAGTCTGGTTATATGGCACATTAAACTTATTGTTTTATGGAGTTCACATCCATATGTACCTGGTCTCTTAGATAATGTTATGGAAGATGAAGTTAGTGAGGTCTTCAGGCATATGCTCACTGCTGTATATTTTGTTTATTACTTGTTATCTTGTTGATGCCAAAGTCATCTAAGGCATTTCTGTTACGATCTCATCAGGCCCTACTGCTTTATTCCTGTTCATCTTTTCCAGTGATCATCTTACTTCATCTTTTAGTATTTCTGGTACTTCCATATTTTCAGCATCATCATAAAAAAAATTCTTTGACATATTCACTCCACCTTATTTTTTTTCTTTATCTATTATCACTGATCATTCCTTTGATTTTTGTTTTTTAAGAGCCTGTTGGTTGGCTCACCTTTCATCCTGTTAATTCTTTTATTCTTTTGTGCATTCTTGCTGTGTTTGTGTTATTCATTCTCTCTATTTCTGGCACTTTTCCTTGATTCATTTCTCTTTAGCCTGTCTACATTTGTTTTTAATTTCTGCTTAATGTTCAGTATACTTCTCCATTCCTTAGCATTGTTGTTGATTTTTCATCATCTCTAGAATTTCTTCTATCATCCATCCATTCATTCCTTTCTTGTCTAGTTTTCTTTGGGATGATCTTGTTTGTCGGTGTCACAAGTGTTTCTCTCAGCATGTTCCACTTTGATTTTGTATTCTCATTCAGATTGTATTCATTTATAACTCTGTTTTCATATGTCTCCTTGCAATTTGTGTCCTTATTAAGTGTTGTGTATGATACACCTAATTTACATAAGCGGACTACCGACCATATAAATATGGGTTGGTACCGGAAGACGGGGAAGATAGTAGAGATTAAGAAATTGAATCCAGAGACTCTGCCCGACTGCGATTTAGTCAACCCATTATGCAGGAACAGTCTTCCCAAGAATATACCAAACTAACTGTAAATATTGTGTACCTATTCTTTGTTTCAATACATTTTGTTAACGTACATTTTGTGTTGTATTATTCCATGCTTATTTAAGCTTCAACATTAAGTCTATTATATTGCAGTTTAGGTGCTACTTTGATGTAAGTTTAATCTGATGTAGCACACTACTGGAAGAGGGTTGCTCCTGCAGTCAGTGCTTGGGTATGTTTTGCAGTATAGGACTGTTTCTGAATCTTTTATTGATAGTTGCATAATCAATCTGGTTCTTTGTGTCTCTTCCTGGCTTCCCCATGTTCACAGGCATCATGTTGGTGATTACTTGATTGTTTGCTGTGCACCACTGGATCCATCTTTCACAGCTCTCATTTCCGGATCCTAGTCCACTGTATGACAACAGTTAACATAAAAATAACTGACAAGGAATAGTGGAATGTGAGGAAAGAGAACTAAAATGAAAATTTAGAACATGAATAGAGGGGCATAGAAATCCTATAATTACCTTACTGTATGAACAATATTATTTTTTATTTTATCTTTACTTAGTAATAATCACTATTTTAATTCCCTGTTATACAACTAGAGATGTTAAAAGGTGTTAGTTCTTGTCTAAGAGTGACTTGGACTGGACATTCAGCTTTCTTGGGTATTCTTCATACAATCATATAAATGGTTAGAATTTTAGTTGAATTTGAAAAAAAAAAAATTTTCTTTTCTCACAGGCCTCTGAAGCAAGCCTTCCAGAAATGGTTGAAGACAATGCTAACATGGGATCCAACAATCCGTGGTTTTGACCATCAAGAAAAGGGCAAGAAAGAAAAGTGCTTTATTCATCTAGAAAAGATTCTGGAAATGAAGGTATTATTATCTCTATTGAAACATTGAAGGTATTATTATCTCTATTCAAATATGAATTGTGAGAATTTATTTAACTAGATCTTTGCTTGATGTTCCTATCATCTTAATGCAATTTTAAACTTTAATCTTTTCAGAAGCATAAATGCTACAAAACAATATTTTGAATGTTTGATTTGTTTACTTATTGCCTAAAACCAAGTAGGTAAGTCTATAATTTAAAGCTTTGATAATAATAATAAATAATTGTGCCCTTAGAGATATTAAAATATCAGTTGTGCTTAATTGTCATCGACCTGCTCAGTGAAAATAAGCATTGGTTAAATATCAGAGTACAGCATTTTACTGAAACCATTCTAACACTTGAGACATTTATATGCTTTTTTTTTTTATAGTTTTGTAAATATGCAAGGCTTAGGAAAATAGGTAAATATTAATGAAATAACTGTCCCTCCATTCTATGTACACATTGTACATGTAAAACTGAATGGTTTGATTTAGCCAGGTCTTTTTTATAGATTCTCAAGTAAATTTGTGTTTGAAGTAGGTTAGTTTATCATTTTTCATGCATTTTTTTATTTGTTACCCACTATGAAGCTTAAACTGAAAGAATAATATTTAGTGTACAAATTGCTTTTTCTTTTTATATATCTGTAGAGGGTCTTATTTTCTGTGAAAACAGAAAAACAGAATGGCCTACTTGAAATGGAAATCGCGATTTTGAAATGGATTTTTTTTTTCTTTGACAACTGCCATTTTAATTTGTTACTATGTTCGTCTTTCCTAACTTGCTCATTGAAAGACATCAAAAGTAAAGTCAGTAATTTTTTTAATACATTCTATTTACCTACTGTATCCTTACTGTTGACAGTATTAGGAACCAAGTTTTAAGAAGTTGGCTTGATTTAAGAAAAGAAAAAAAGTTAGTGGAGGTGGGGGGCAAAAATATTATCTTGTTTTTTTTTTTTTTTTGTGTTTTGTTTTGTTTTTTTTTTCTATCACAGGATGACGGAGATAAGGTACAGTTTGTCATTTCAGAAAGCCAAATTTTATGAATTGAACTTTTTTCAAAAATTTTCTTTTAATAATTTCAATAAAGTGATCTTACAATAATGTAGCATTTTGTCTCTAGATGACTTTGTGGTGCTAATTTTCTCTAGGTTTAGCCACTTTCACTTAATTCTTATTTAGGATTGTAGAATTATTTGCAAGGATTGTCCCAGAAACTCAACAAGTTAGATTAAGAGCTGAAGTATGTGGAGCTGGAGCAACTTATCCAATGGGTGGATATTCCAGCGAGTAAAAATTTTTCATTTTCCTTTTATTTTTTTTGTTTCAATAACATTTATATATTGTTAGTTTCTTACTAAGTATTATAATGAAGCAAAAATGGAAATTTATACTGAAAACAGGTAAATAAACGTAATTCTATACTTTTAAATGGAAAAAAAATAAATTCCCTAAAGCCTGAAACAAAATTAAGGAAAATTTGAAACGGAAAATTGTTTCCTCTATATCTGTAAAATTTAAAAATTTAGATGTTAGATTAATATGATGAGAGATTAATTATTGATTTGGCTACTTTAAAATTTTGTAACAGACTGAACTAAATAGTATTGTTTAGATTAAATTCAAATAATCTTTTGTTAAAAGGAAAAAAAGCAAACCATTGAGAAAATAACGCTAAAAACTTGTTTATATCTTTTATTTAATTTAATTTTTTAAATATGACAAAATTAATCAACAGGATCTAATGTTTATCAAGAACTCTATTTTAATTTTGTCAATATAAATAACTTCACTAATATTTGCCAAACTTTGTCATATTCTCAAATCAAAAAAGTAGTAAATTTAAAAATTATTGTTATTCTTGTTCTTAAATCATGATTGACAAAAAATTGCACTCTCATGTTATATAATACTTTATGCTGTATTACAATTTGATGTTTTCTCAATTTACTTTAAAGTACAGGTTACATAATATTTACTTAGATAATTATTATTTAAATCTAGTTAAAGTAAAAGTTTTGAAAAAAAAATTTGATATGCACTTATTTTTTTCTATATATTCTTTTATTTTAATAAAGTCATTAAATTGAGTTTTAATATCTTTAGTATATCCATATTTTCCCAGGCATTTACTATTGTTTATGCTTTGGTATTTCACACTCATGATTGTGTAGTCGCTTGGATTAGCACTTCACAGATGTTTTGGGTCTGAAAGCTTACAATCTTTATCCTAACTTAAAAATTACACATATTTACTCAGTGGGATTTGTTTTGGTCTAAGCTGGCAATTCTGACATCACTGCTCACTTTTGATCTAAACCGTGGGTAGAAGTTTTGGACCCCAACTACTGTGGTTTATCAGCACCAACCTGTATTTCAACGTAGGAAAATATTTTTTGATAAAAAAATATTACAGTAATTTTACACTTTTGATATAAATTCTTTGGTTTGTTTTAAAATTTTAAAACCATTTACAGTGTCAGACTATGAGTCTTATTCTATATATAAACATTATTATTTACTATTCACAAGGACATAAAATGATGTATTGTCTATCAGAATTAATGGTCATAAATAGGACACTTTTGCTTTTATTGAAAACTTTAGGTGAACAATTACAATATCATTCAGTAAAATAGTTTTATCCTGAAATGTGATTTGCTTTTAAAAATATAAATAATAATAATTTCATATTACATAGCATATTACTCAGTATTAAACTGTAAAGCTACAAAGTAGTAATGGTTAATAAGGGGTTTTGACACAAATAAACACAAAAGTATTTTCTTTAGTAATCTGATTACCATAAAAATTACCAAGATTATAAAGACCCAATTACAATAATTGAAATAACACTTTTTATTGTACCAGACAACATGCATTCACCAAAATTTGACACCTTAAATATCTATGTCTTTGTATGAGCATTTGACTTGAAAGCTTTTTAGATGTATATGAAAATGTACTTCATTTATCTAATTACTTATCTTATTTCAGCAGTTTCTATTTTCAAAGATTTTGTATAATTGTTCAATTGGTGAAAAACTTAGGCTAATTTTTATTCATATTCATTGACATAAAATTGCATTATAAATTATTTCTTTATAAAATTCAGTAGAAATGTTTTGTATAAGAAGATTCATAAAGTTATTTGTTTCTCTCTCTCTCTCTGTTCACCAGATCCTCTCTTTCTATTACGTGATGGAAAACACAATGCTACATTATCCATTGGCCCAAGATCAAACCTTTGAAGATGTACAAAACCTCATCTTTGCTAGAACAAAAATTCCCATAGAAGAACAAGAAATTTTCTTGGTTGATGGTAAAGAACCCAAGAAATATGAAATGGCTAAAAATATCTTGAGCCAAAATGTAAGATCTCCTTATTTTATTTATTTATTTTTTTTTTTCATAAAAGTTGCAAAAGACATTAAAATGTAAAGATAGCAACATTGTAAAAGTTCAGTTGTATTACTTTTTTGTCATATATTCAATATATTTGCTCTTAAAGTTGACTTATGTATACTGTTTTAATAATGAAACTGACATCATTATAGAAATAACATGTTATTGCTGTCTTCATACATTTAAGTAAATAGGAAAAATAGGAGCATTCAAATTATTTAATTTCGTTTGCTTGTTTCTTTCAGAATGTTCATGGAGAGACTTATCCTTTATTCTTGTTTCAAAAAAACAATATTCCACTGAAACAAGACATTCATTTTCGAGCATTACCTCCCAAAGTTCATTTTATGCATGCAAATGACTCGCATTCATATCCAATTAAGGTAAAATTCTTTTTATTTTTATTGATTTATGTTTTGATAAATACATATTCACTTAATGCTTTAAATATGCTGGCTATATATATATATATATATATATATATATATATATAGGTCATTCCATATCACCTCAACCCAAATTTTGAGAATTTCATTAGTTATTATTTCAGATTTTTATGAAATTTTACTTTTTGGCTAAAAATTGCTGTTCCAACAGACTGACATAGAATAGATTTCTGGTTTCAATTTATCTCTGTTTTATGTATATCTATAGTTATAGGTCTTTAAAAATGAGGAAAATGGCTATTTTGTTTTTTAGTTAGTTTTGTTTTTTTTGGTCAGTATATTACCACCCACAGATTTTACACAAAGTACAGTAAAATAAAAATTCAACTTGATTATATTGATTTGTGTAAAATATTAAAATATTGTTTACAAAAATTAAATAATTCCAGGTTAACCAAAATCTATATCCACTATTGTAACAGTGTGAAAATTAGCATAGACAGTTGAATTCATGAAACAAATTTTGCTGAATTATAATCTCATATATTATGTTTCCCTCATAAAAATTAAGATTGCTATTCATATTTAACATGGTGAAATTGCTACAGATACTGATATAGCCTATAAAATTATTTTGATTAAACATTCTAACTGGATTTTCACCCTTTCATGTTACAATAAATTTTATATATTGTTATTTTTGAACGTTACATCTCAATTTCTTTCTTTTTTTTATAAATATAATGTATAGCTAGTGTCATTGTTCTTATAATAATGCTGAAATTAGAGGAATTTTTTCTTTTTAAATCATTTCACCCCAAGCATGGCAATAAGGCCACTATGATGCAAGTGGTTATTGGGAGTGAAAGAAAAGAAGAAAATGTCAGTCACATGAAAGGGCAATAAAAGAACAGGTGTCAGGAAGACAGATAGTGATTGAAGTTGCATTTAAATTTTTGAAGATCGTAGGTGACAAGGAAAGCAAAAAAGTGGAAGAGAGTTCCACAGGCAAGAAATGCAAGAGAAGAAATTATTGGAATAGAATAGAATTTAGTTACATCTAGCTATATCAACAGTAAAATGATGATACCTAGTTGCCAATTTAGTACTATACTTAAATTCATGAGGTAAAGGTACCAAGGAGGGAAGTTCATTAGTTAACAATTGCCATGATAATATACAAAAGGCACAGGGAATCTACATTATGGTTGTAGGAAAGTACTGAAGTTAAATGCCAGGTCAGGATTGATAACTTTATAGATCCTTCTTTGGATTTTGTCAAGAACCTTGATATATAGCAGGAGCACCAGTATGTAACAGCAATATTCAATGACTGTACAAATGGTAAATTCAGGGTTTATATAGGTCCTGTAACCTTGAAAATTGACAGGGCCTTTCCCAGGGATAGAAAATTCCTGGAAAAACAGCAATAGCCCCTTGAAAAGTCCTGGAATTTTCTAAATTGGGCTTCCCACACATTCTTTTTCTCAATTCATGAAAGTCAAAATGTCAAATTCCATAAATCTGGCTTTTTTACAAGGTAAAATTGTCCTGTAAGAATAATATTTTTTTAGTTGTAATATTTCAAATCTGATTAATTTAACCTTAAATTTGCTAATTTTACTCAAATAATGTGTTACAAATAATTTTAATTTTGGAAGATTTTTAAAACCGATAATTTTGTTTTGTTGACAAATTTCTTAAAATTAAGAAAATGGACGCTTTTAAGAATTTTTTTAAAATCAAGCAAATATTTGACATTCCAATCGATATAATTTCTATTTAAAATATGTCAGAATATTTTACTAACTGGAAATAATAAATTTAATCATTTAGCTTTCAATTAAAGCTAAAATGAAATCTTCAAGAATGCTTTTTCATTTTAAACCTTAGGTATTGAAAATTTATACTGAAAAAGTGAATGTACCTAAAATATATTAAAAGTTTTATTGCTTGGCTTTATATTAAAATTTAAATCTGGCAGCCCTGTCCCATTACTTTTGTATTTCTGCCATAGATGGCTAGAAAATGTACAAACATGTAAACAACTCCTAGACAAATTTGGCCAGATGTCATCAAATTTGGGAACTTCATTAAAAAAAACAGAAAAATGTCCCCAGACCAAGTCCTCTTCTGTAGTGCTGTCAAACATGAATGACATTTTATTTTCAGTGAAACTGCAGATTTTTGTGTCTGTCTCGAAAGAAATTGAACCATTTCTGATAAAATATCAGAGTGATAAACCATTGCATCCTTTCTTTGCAGATGATCTTTTTAGCATGATCATGTCATTGTTAAGAAAATTTGTAAAGGCAGACCACACTAAAAAGATAATTACATTTTCCAAACTGAATGAATTTGTAAGAATTTTGTCAAACCCAAAGATGCTGCAAAGATTGAGTATGGATTTCTGGCAGATAGGGCTATGCAAAATTTATCCAAAAAAGGAAATGTGTCAACAAAAGATCTGTTTACATGCAGAATTGCAACAAAGACAATGTTCATCACCATCATTGAGAAATTTCTGGCAAAATCCCCCCTTAGATACCTCAAGTAAGGTCACTTGCAGGGCTGAAACCTGGATCCATTTGTGGAAAAAACATCTGCCACAAAAGATGTCTTTCCCACATAATGGACAGAAAAGTTAACAAGTCTGATTGTGAGGATATTATAAGTCAAAATAGTTTGAAGAGGAAACTGCTGGAAATATTGCTTTTGAGAATTTCAACAAGTATGAAGATTGTTTGGACACTTTGTTATACTCTTCTTTGTCTAGTAACAAAGAATATCAAAAACTGTAAAAAGTTATTTACATTGTTCAGACTGTTGTCCTCATCTTTGTTACTATATTCATGATGTTTCGGCCATTGTATATTTCAGATTTCTCTGGTAAAAAATGGTTACTAAGATATTAAGTATATACGTCCCAAAAATTCATATACTGATTTCCACAAGGACACATGGCCCACTGTATAAAAACATTGGTTGGATCCAGTGACTTGACCCAAAGAGTTGTGAACAAAAACTTGGAGAGTTAAAGGGAAATAACTGAGACATCCGGAAGAGGCATGGCACATGGAACTAGAACAATTTAATTCAAAATTTCAATCACCTGAAGAAGGCTAGCACTTACAATTACCAAAACATCATGAATATAGCAACAAAAATGAGGACGACAGGCCAAACACTGTAAATAGTGTAAATATATTACAATATTACAGTACCTCATCTCAGAAATATAGACAGCTACTGTAGAAAGTTGTTTGCAGATTGCTGGTACTCTTTCATGAGGTTTTTCAGTCAATATAAAACAGTTGCACAGCACATTATTTGGATTATTGGAGGCTAAGGCTCTTCCAATACAAACAATACATACAGAATACAAAAAAAGGAAAAAAGAAGCTAAACTAGATGAACTGAAAAAAATCATTGTGTTTTATGCCATGTGCAACAAAAGTCATGCGAGGTAGCTGAAATCTGTAGTCTTTGTGAAAATTTCTATTTGTAGTTCTGTTCATTAAACCATTATATTTAACTTCACAGGAAATGTGCAACAGTCAAGAATTTTTGTGACATTCACAAGCCATCAGTAGTCTAGACAGCTGAAATGTGTAGCAGTAATAATTCAAGTTGTGTAATTCAAAATTTTCTAGTGTAGTAGAACTCCAGACTGTGCAGAAGGCTACATAAAATGTCTAACCAGGTCTGCATTCAGTTGTGTTTTAGCCTTCAACACTTAGATTTCTCCACTGCTTTCAACTGATCCATGTAACATGAATTCTTGGAACCAGCTGTAACTTTTCTTTCAAACATCTCATCTGTCAAATTATTAAAAAATAAATAACAAAGTTTCTGTTTGATGACCATTCGTTTTGGGTGTTTGTGTATGCATATCAGTTTTGGTCCTTGAATTTCTTAATATAGTCCTGGAAAAGTCCTGAAATTTTTTTTTACACAGATCTGTAGGAACTCTATAAATATGCAAGATGGATTCTGGCAAGAGAAATTGTCTGGCACAACACAGTGAACCAACTTTCCTAGCAGCAGACCTAGCAATTGATTATCATTCTTTTTCATATCAGCAGAAAATGTGAGACAGAAAAGGCACAATATGTTGCTCTCCTGGAGGTCAGCATGAAAGGTAAAAATGGTTCTCTAAGATAACTAAAAGACAGCAGTTTAATTTTGGAGATGTTAAAATTAAATCATTTCTTGCCCCAGTTAACAACAGATTGTCATTTTCAAGATCATCTGCCAGTTTTACTTTACCTATTGTACTTACTTAGACAGGAGTAAATAATTGCATCATCAACATAGCTACCAAGTTGAAAACTAATGGCATTGGGAAGATAAGAAACAAAGGTACAAAGGATAGAATCCTGGAGAACCCTCACATCAATGTGAAATGATCTAGAAGAGTGGCCATTTAGCATTATTTTCATTACATCATTTGTTAAGAAAGATTGGATCAAATCAAAAATTCATCCCAATATACCATCACCTTTCAGCTTGTGAAGAAAACCAGCATATCAAATTGCCTTCACTGTTCTTGTCTAAAGCTTGACAGATTCTTTCAGTAATAACCATTAACACATCAGCAGTTGACCAAAACAAAAGCCATAGTGTTTGTTTAAAAAAGACCTTGTAAAGTGAGATACTTAACCAATCTGGATTTGATTAGAGTCTTTTGTACTTTTCAGTTAGACTAATAGGAAAATAATTCAAGGGACCTAAGGGTTCACTTGAGTTCTTAAAAACAAGAACAACAGAAAGGAATTTCCAACAAGCGGGAAAACAAGAAGCAGCAAGGTATTTAATTTAGAGTTCAGAGAGAACAGAGGTCAGTTCAGGAAAACATTTCTTTAGTGCAATTCTACAATTCATCAATATCATCAAGTTTACATTTTTTTTTGTGTGGATCTAGTTTGGAGATAATAGCAGAAATCATGGACAGTAGTATAGTAGAGATTTGGATCTAGGTGGAAAATCAGGCAAAG